AAGGGCTTCTGCTTTCCAAAGATGGTCTCAAATGCACAGTACCTATAGAGTCACCCTTTATCATGCTTCTATCTCTACAAACCGTATACCAGGTACAGCTATGCTTTATAATATAAATCAACCAATTGTATGCACAACATATAAAAATATATTTCTTGCATGTAGATTCACTTACATTCAATGTATAGTGAGGGTGTGGGGCTGAAGCAGATTCCTGCAGGACGAGTATTGGCTCTCCCTTCAGTCAATGAGGCCACCTCAATGGCCGTCTCTATCCCTGGACTCGCTTTATTTGTTGCAGATGCAAATCTTGCAAGAGTAGATAAACTAAGATTGACTGACTCAAAGTCGGGACAACCACTAATTGCTGATGGACACGTCCTGAAGTTAAGCCAGGTAAAAACGAAACATATTGGACATAAATGTTGGTTGATTGAGCTCTGATCACCTGTTGTAGGGTGACTCTATCTCTGGTCTTGCTGTGGACTGGGTAACCTCCAATCTTTACTGGAGCAGTATAAAGAGACCAAATCTGCATGTGACTTCTGAGAAAGGCTACACTGAATCACTGCTCCCTGGATTCATGAAGGTAAATGATGATTGAACGTTAAATAAATTGCTTACTAATATTTGTCATTTAGGGCACTACGTCTATTGCTGTGTACCCACCTTCGGGTCAGCTGTGCTACACAGTGGTGGGATTGACAGGCAAGAGTCAGGCAGAAGTCAGCTGCGTCTGGATGGATGGACGCAAAAGAAGAGTGCTGTGGAGGAAATCTGGTGTCCCATCTTCAGTGGTTTTTTCAGAAACTGGCAAAGTAATCTACTGGGCTGATACTGGTAAGAGCATTATTATTTCCTTATTGTTTTGGCATTTCCTTGAGGTTAATTTTTTTTTCTTCAAGGAGAAGGAGTTATCTACACCATTGGCCTGGATGGATCAGGATTGAAACAGTACAAAACAGGACGTGGCTTCCTCATCTCATTCACCTTTATTGATAATTATATGATCTGGATGACATTTGATAAAGGTAAATCTGCACAATAGGTGCTGCGTAAATTTTAAGTTTTAACAAATGTTTGCATAAACGAAAAGGCTGTTTTATGAAATGCATTTAAACTAAACCTATGTTTGTGTAGATATCACAAGACTATGGGTTAGTGAGGGCCTGCAGCCAAAACGCCTGTGGTGTGAGACGAAGATCAGCTTGAATGAAATAAAGGCATACAGCAACATCAGCCAGTCCGGTAAGTGCTGTGATTGTTTTATGGTGTGCTGTATAATTGCCCTATTGCTACATTATGCACTTTGTTCCTACCTTCAAAGATCTAACTTGAAACTTTGCCTTGTGGTGTAATCTGCTGGGTTCTAGGAAAATAGATGGCTGAATGTCATATCGTAAACCTTGTCAGATCAATAACTGGCTGATTCTGGCCACAAGAAAAGTGTGCTTGTGTGGTAAAGTTTGACACACAATGACTGCCCACTTCTCCAGTGCCAAACTATTTCCCAAAGAGCAATGTACTGTAGGGACCACTAGAGGGTAGATGTGGGACAGACGAATAGATATATCTCCCTTTTTTGAAAATGCCCATGTTAAGTTAAAAACCTGGGATGCTTTCGGACCTTATTTGGTTACAAAAATCGGATGTTTTAATAGTTCACAAATTGAAATGTGATTATAATTAAAGATCCGAAAACTGTCATCGCATAGTTTAGCTCTGACTTGTCATAGAATGCTGAAAGGGTATCAAATATCAGACTGCATGAAAACTCCTTGGTGCAGGCAAAAGTGATGCGATACTTTCACAGGGATGAGCTGAAACAAAGGCTGTCCCTGAAGGAGATCCAAATCATGACAAACACTGTGCCGTTGTAAACTGCCACATGAAGGTTTAAATTGTGCCGTAAGACATCAATACATTTAATGAAGGTGTCAATAATCTGTGCTACCTGCAGCTTGGAAGTTTTTACTTGTCTAGTGTATTACTATTACCATGCGTCAATCCACCATGTAAGAAGGGGAAATTTTTCTGCAAATTGAAGACTGTTCAAACTAGTGAAATACTTTTAGATTATGAAAACTTTCAATTGAGAATCCCACACATTCAAGCAATGGGTACAAATGAGTCAAAAAGTTAAATTTTGTATAGTTTAAAATGCTTGAAATACATTTTAACTCGATTAAACATATTTTGTGTATACAGATTCAAAAAAGGTTATCTTGTTTATTACCCAGGAAGCAACAGCTGTGCTTACAACAATGGCGGATGTGCACACCTGTGTCTGCCATACCCTGGCGGTCACACATGTCGCTGTGGACAGGGATACTACTCCGTCAATGTCTCTTCCTGTGCCGAACTACCCTCGTGTCCCACAGACACCCTGCGGTGTCCGAACAGCAGCAAGTGCATCAACAGCAGCCAGTTCTGTGACACTGTGAAGGACTGTTTGGATGGATTGGATGAACAAGATTGTGAGTCTAAAACTGAAAATATAATTGCCAGGTAAATTTAAGATGAAAAGTAGCTGATCAGTGAGGGAGGGGCGACAGTAGCTCAGTTGGTAGAGCATTGGCCTTAAGGCCAGAAGGTTGTAGGTTCAATTCCCACCTCTGCACCTTCTCCACCGACTCCCACTGATGACTGCTGTCGTTGTGTCCTTGGGCAAGACACTTAACCCCACTTTGCCCAAAGCCCCAACTGAAAGATCAAGGCTATGCTCTCACTCAGAGCAGCCGTCCTCCTGTGGACTCACCACCTGCAGAGGGTCAGTGAGGGGCTGGTGCTATGAGACTTGGGTGGCAGCTCTGATTGCCACCCCCCTGACCCAGAAATGGATTAAAGGGAAGAAAATGGATGGATGGATGGATGATCAGTGAGGTCAGCTGATTTTTTTTTTCTTTTTTTTTCTCCAAACTATTCCTGAAAGTTTAATTCCAATCAAGCACACCAGGTTTAAACCAAACCCTAAACATTTTAACTCTTGGTAGTGGAAACTGGTAGTCTGAGCTCCTGCTTAATTGGAATGTAAGCCTGTAGTCACAGGTCTCATTGAGGACTGATGTGAGGACAACTGCCCTATGTTTTTATGCAATTACAAAAAATCTTCTTCCCAGGTCCATTTGTAGAGGTTGGCCTTTCGAGGACCAAAAGCCACAAGAACTCCCTTGTCCAGTCCCCATTCTCCCCGTCAGACACAAAGGGTCAAAAACTGGAGGCATCGTGTGACCGCCAGTGTAATGGCCACGGCTCCTGCGTTACTGAAGGCACCGGCAGCCGCTGTCATTGTGCAACAGGTTATAAAGGAGAGTTTTGTCAAGTGGCTGAATCCTCGTACAGTGGAAAAGCAATAGGACTGGGTCTGTTCTTTACCTTTGCTGTGCTGATTGCTGGCACTTTCCTTTACTTTAAAAGGTTTGTATGATTTAATCCCATCCCAGGTACAAAGTAAAAGTAACATTACATACTTTTTACCCCCAGGAGAGACTTGGCTTTAGCTCTGAGCTCGACCAGAGAAAAAGAAACGCTGATGTCCAACATGAGTTTACCATCAGAACACTTCAGCTTTGATAACGAGGTCAGGAGTTTTATGGATGAGGGAAATTTTATTCATTTTTATACGATGTGGTGGAACTCATCTTTTTATCTATTTTCCAGGAGCTTGATTCTCCAGTTGATGAAACTAGTCCTGGTTTATCTTTGGCCTCGCTAGAGTCAAAACAATAGATTGGTTTCCATTTATGGGCAAATCTTTTTAACACACACTTTTATCTATAATTTTGGTTGCCTCAAATCATGTCAACTCATGTTGAAATAAATAGATCCTGGAATCCTACATGTTTGTTCGCAGTTTTTGGCTTAGTGGCTCCATTGACTCTAGTAGCATACCACAAACTTCCTGTTTCTTAATGTTGGAAATTGACTAGTCAACTTTTTAAATACAATAAATCTTAATTCCACTCTTTAACTGACGACACCCTGTCAGACCCTGACTTTGTATAACCTTTCCAAAGGGTTGGTGCTTCTGTAGTTTCATGTTTCAGCCGAGTCGAGAATCTTGTTCAAACTTGCCTATCGGTGTTCACCCCTTTCCGCCAGACTCTTTCTACACACTTCTGTTGCTCAAATGTCTGAACAGTCCAGTCCAACTCTGTTTGGATTGGCATTCAGGTGTCAAGTAATTCAAGGTGCGGATTTTGAGTAAATTTATGATTCCCCCTTCCCCCCCTAACTTTTCTGTACCATGTTTGTTATGATGCATTTTTCTTGTGAAACATTTCACTGCTGTGTTAACATCTTTGGACTTATGAAATATGCAATGTCTGATTCTCCAAGGATTAAAAACCACAATCATGTTGCGCATGACAATCATGGGAGGAGGTGAGTTGTGTTTTACCATGGGAAAAAAAAGGCAGGTATTTGCACAGGTCTCCACTTTCTTCCTCTTCCCTCCTACCTTATTTCAGATTGTTTCACTGAGCAGAACAGCTCCCATTGAAAGAGGACCAATTCATTATACTTTTGGACCGGCTTATATTGCTTGGGTAAGTGGAAAAATACGTTTTTAAAGTTTTATTTGTCATGTGGGAAGGCCGCCCTTTGTTAAAACCTGTAGAACTGGATGCTTGAGTGGAACAGCAGCCCATAAACTCTTCCTTGACTATCTCAATCTCCACTATCTAGTTTATTTTTATTTTTTCAAGGGCTGAAGTTTGAACATAGATTTAAAAACTAAAAGATCCTTCATGTTTATGTGAAATGAGTTTTGGTGGACATTCATGCGGTTTTAAATCTTAGAGCTTATACTAGATTTAGTTGGAGTCTTTATTTCACCAACACAACTAGGTTCAAAGAATAAAACCCTTTTCATGATGAGGTTTCTATCCATGCCAAATGTGACATGTAAATTTCTCCTGTGAGAGATCAATAAAGTCTTATGTTAAAACTGTTGTCTAAAACTATGAACTAAAAATGTGACCTTTCTACAGCCGTTCGCCATGTCTGCCTCCCTCGTGCCTGCTCATGTCCGGCCTCGAGGCATTGACTTCAGCCTGTCGACGTGTGGGGAGACCCAGTGCAACTCTCGTGGGACGTGTGTGTCTCCCCCAGGAGGAGGCACAGGGCTGCTGTGTGAGTGCTCACTCGGATACCGGGGCCAGTCCTGTGAGAATAGGGTGAACGGGGGCCTCAGCCTGCCACTCACCCTCAGTGTCATCGGAGTAATCATCGGACTGCTGCTTTTAGCCTTCATCATCGCAAAGATAAGACAGAGGCTGAAGAAGAATCAAAGGTATTTATATTAAACTTTTTGTGTAAATGTTTGAAAACATTGTGTACCAAAATAATAGAAGTCTATAAACTCAGCCCCTTCTGTTCAATAACTTATCACAATGGTTAGTGCCCTTATAGTCCCTATAGATGCAAGTTCACCACATTTAGGCATTGTAAAGAGCTGATGACTAGGATTTTAAAGAAATATTTTCAAAATATTTTTTGTGAAAATTGTAATGTTGTTGCATACAATTCTACTCCAGTGCACTTGCATCAAGTCAGCCTTTCCAACATCAGCCAGAAACACTCAAACACTAAAATGAGATTGGTGAGGAGTGTCTTGCCCAAAGACCCAACTGCAGCTTTAACAAATTGTTTCACACCTGCATTGGTCAATTTATGTAACATAGTGGCATGTTGTCAATGTTTGTTTGCAAATTCTATAACATTTTAAATAGCAGGGGCAAAAAAAGGCAGTTTAGAAAACTTGCCCACCCATTCATAAATCGACAAGTCTCTGCTCAATCTCATAACAAAAGGGGGAAAATGTTTTTCCCCCATTAAATTACTTTCAGGTCGTTCCTCAGAAGTGAAGCTTGTTACATGACAGGACAATAGAATAATTGTTTTTGTTGCGGTTATACAAATTAGAGATTGAGTACATAATGCAATAAATATGGGTTTGTGCCTTTATTCTCAAGCATTTGTTTACAAATTTCCGGACAGAACATAAATGAGACGTTTTGTTCTGTGAACAGGCAAAGGATGTGAGGTATTTTTTATATACGAGTTAATGATTGGTTGTGAATGGCATGTTCAGTTCAGTACTCAGTTGGCACATTTGTTTTTTGTCGACAGGCGGCAACTGGCAGCAAGACAAGGCTACAATATTGCAGTATGAGGAAATGATCCCTTCACAATGCAGGTATTACTAATTTAAATGTGTGCCTCTGCTGTTTCAATAACCTTTTGTTTTTTTGTTCACCAGATCACCAATGACCGGGCCAGTATCCCACCGAAGCTTTTCACTAGTACAAGACGGGTCTTAAAATAAGTCCAGGACATCATTCATAGCGCATTTTTTCTTGTCAAAGACTTTCTGGTAGCTGTCGGCTAATTATTCAACTTTAAGAGGAAAGGGGAAGTTTGTGTGTTTTGCGGTGTACCAATGTCAGACATTTCTTAAAGCACTAATGCAAGGGCAAGGCACTTGAACCAGGCATGTCCAAACTCCGGCCTGGGGGGCCAAATGCGGCCCTCAGTGTCATTTTATGTGGCCCTCTGCCTTGCTTCCCCCAAGTAGTGTTTGAGATCATAAACAAAAGTTCACTGTGTCATCCATCAAACTTTAGCTCAGCCAATATGGACCATGTTATAAAGCCCAGTACGTTGTCGACTTGATTTGCACACTGACGTTAATGATGCTAATGTAGCTGGTGAGATGGTAAACGTTTGTCATTCAGCCAACTTAAGCTCTGTTACAAATTTTAAAGCTCAATACAGCCCGATGCCAGTCAAGACAGTTTTTCAGTCCGTGACGTCGGCCCCTGGACTAGTTTGGTGAACTAAAGTGGCCCTCTTACTAAAGTTTGGACACCCCTGACTTAAACCATATTGGATTATCTTGCCTTTAGTTTCTGGTGACCAACTTGGTTCTTTTCCAGAAAGATTTGTGTAAAATGTTTTCTGGAAGGAAGAGTTTGAAAGTAAAATGTTCCATTCACAATGATAATACTACTTGCAAAGTTTGGAGCTTCAGTTGCTGTCCTTATAAGATTTTATTTTTGTAAACTTGTATTTTTACCTCGTTTTGAAGCAGTTGTGACTGATTTATTACTGGAGTTGTTTACAGAAAACACAGGAAAAGAGTGCTGTTGCCACAAAAGTGTCATGTTCACTGTCAACTGTTTAAATACAATCCTCCCATTCTTAAAGCACTGAGACTGGTATAGTTTAAGATTGTTTCCATGTGCAATAATTTTTTTCTGAAAATTCACGAAATACAAAATTTTACTTATACAATATTACTGTATATTTTTTTTCTTTTACTATCTTATTAAATTCATATTGTACAATAACCTGTCTTGTCCATTCAATTGCTTCACATTACAAATGGGGAATCTGACATGTAAAACTTCCTTATACCGACACGTTGGGTACTAAAATGTCCAGTTCATTCTTTGTTAGGGTTACTAAAAAAAACCCTAAGAATGAACTGGAGATGGTTTTCAAGTGTTTTATTAAATATTTGCTCTGCACATATTGTCAAGTGAGTCATGTAGATGAAAAGTAGCATGTTTTCTGCTCATTTGTCCTACGATAGACTATTGACAAAGCCAGACCTGAATTAAACTGATCATTAAGCATACAGTATCGTCATTGTTGTGTGCCATGGAAAACCAGTTTAGAGGAAATGTTGTCAAACAGGAAGAAATGGGCTTGTTCTTAACCAGTCGAGCAACATTTATGCGCCTGCTACTCATCCACTGTTTTGGAAATGGTACAAGGACATTCATGTCTAGCAAATCTATTGTTTGTATATGGCACAAGAAATCCTAATAATTAACTTTGACAACAGTAATATTAAACGGCACTTTTATTGACCAATTTCCCAAGTCTTCCATGGTCCAAACCATTAAAGTGCATACATTGTTGTAAAGATTTACACAATATTTACAAACTAACGACACAAACTTCATCCTTGCATTAATTTCATTTTATAAAACCCTTGAAAATAAAACATTTCATTGACCAAATGTTTTTATACTAACAACACTGAAGTCTCAAATAGACGTTTGCTGATTCCAATGGGTCAGTTTTTATGACCGATCACCAGTTCACTTGTATGCTCCTTGGACAACACCGCGTCGCCTCATCCTCAGAGATCCGCGTCAAAGGGGTTGCTGTCCAGAGTGTTGACTGACCGAGCTGGACTCTTGGCCCTGGGGAAAGACACGTCGTCATCCATGGACTCCTTGGAGTAGGGCACACTGCTGGCCTCGCTGCGCGGCCGGCTCAGGCTGGGCACGTCCATGCGCCTCGGAGGCTGGTTCCGGTGGTTGAACTTAGCCGCAGCTCGGTCCACCCTGATCTCTCCTCTGTTTTTACCCTTACAACAGCGACATATGCCAATAAACATGACAACACCAGCCAGAACTTCAAATATACCGCCGATGTAACCTAGAACTATGCAGTAACCCACGTTTGTAGTGGGCGCAGGAGTGTCCGTGTTGAGGGTCCTCAGCATGTGCGTGTACCAGGAGATGGGGATGATGGTCAGCACGCCGGAGCAGAAGATGAGAAGTCCTCCCAGACCTGCAGCGGTCCAATTCGGGGTTTGCCTCCAGCAGCGCACGCCTGGGATGGCTACAGCCAAACCGATCAGCGTGATGACCAGAGAGGCCACCATCAGCCCCTGCGCTATTGGGATGAGCGCGTTCTTGTAATACGACACGTCCTTTTGTCCACAGTCGTTTCGAGATGAAGACGTCTGAGAGGCGCAAATGTCCCAGATGCCTTGCAAGAGGACGTAGTCAGAGGGTTGGTTGTTAAAGCCGCTGAGGGTCCGCCAGCTTGGAGCGACTGTGGCGACGAGGTCCAGCACCCATCCGCAGGGGCTGAGGACCAGGCCAAAGATGAAGATGCCCGGGGTCCTCTGAGACATGCGGATCCACTCCTGCACATTGCGGTTCGGCATGGTGAGGCCTGCACTGCTCTATCTCAACTTCTGCCGCCGCGAATGAGTCCTTTTTGTGTCCAGTCTCAAGCTTTTTGACAGCAGCCCGGTCTCAAAACAAGTCTGACTGAAACCTGGAGAGGGGGCGTGGCCTTACCTCTGTCCCCAAAGAGGACAGGTGTGTCACGCACTGTGGCCGCTGTGACTGTGCGATTACCAGGGTACATAGAATTGTAGAAGAGTAATTTTCAAACTAAAAAGAATTTCTAGTAAAAAGAGTTAGTAATTCGATCAAGGAAGTCACTAAACTTGGATAAACTAAACTAGCCGAGATAATGCATCACTGTCTTGCCCTTAGTATTTGTTTCAATGTATTAATAGAAAGTCCAAATAATGAAATATTATACAAATATACAACCTTAATTGATAAACCCACATTAAAACACTTTAAAACATATTTTACTTACAACAAAGAGACCAAAACTATGACATCTTCAATAATGAGTACAAATATATATTTAATGAACGAACCAAAGTAGTCCAGAATGTCTTTCACACACGTGAGGAGAAATGCAGTTCAGAACAGGAATGTCGTTGTGCTGGATCTGTTTTACACGGCTTCATTCATGTGGATATGACATCACTTTTATACATTTGACGGATATAGAAACAGTCTTACATGAAGTTTTACATGAATGAAACATTGATCATAATCATCATGATCAAACTCCAACACTACAACAATGCTTACAGGTGAAGTAAACACCCTACTTTTCTCCATAGAGCCATAACAAAGGCAATCCAACTCTTAGAAGGTGGAGTTTCACCCAAAACTCCTGTTGAATTCATTAAAATATCAATGTGACTTGGAAATGCAATCAAGGACCGGTTTCTAATTGCGTCACTAACCTTTGTTGTATGTCTCTTTTATATTATGACAACAGGAGTGAACAGTTAGCTATGAGCTATGAGATCTAGGCTGATCAACAACACATCATGAGGCATAGTCATGTTATCACTCATTCTATGGGATAACATCTCAGTTGTGAATGTGTAAAACAGTAGAAACCCAAAGCAAATCCGTACCCTTATTTTTCATGCAATATTTATTTATATCAATTTTGATGTGACCTCTTTAATAATTTAATACCCATTAAATATGCAAAAAATATAATATAAATAGACAAAAGTTATTTGCACCTCATACAAGTGGACAATGTTATGGTCTGGCACAGATCTGTAAAATGGCTGTAGAACTGAAGACAAGCATCTGAAACTACTGTAGCACATTTTTGGGAAAATGAACATATAATAATGTTACGATAGACACCATTTCAAGCAAAAATCATTAATAATAATATTATTGTCTTTCAAGACACCCAAGGACGCCTTACATCACACCAAATCACATCAAAACATCACACACAATATTAAAAGTACAGAATATGATTCATTAAAGAAGCAAGCTTGTGACTGACCATTCAGTCTTAAAACAGCAACATTTGCAATGTAACAGAGAAATTCCTTAAGAACAAAATAGTGTTTTAAAGCTGGGGTACTTAACTTTCAAACGACACAAACTTAATTATGTAGTACAATTCATCTCAGAGTTACTGGCTCTGAACATCAGCTTTTTCAGACCGAAATGTGACCTTCACAGCTCCCAGCTCAAAGCATCAAATAGTGACTCCCTGGGCCCTTTCTAACAAGTATGAAAGAAACAACATGTTTTCTAATAAGATGAAGAGAGCATGTTGTGGTCTGATTTGTTCACAAAATGTTACGTTTACAAGACTTGTTCTGTTGTACTATTATTTATGAGGGGGGAAAAAAAAGTGTGATACCCCAGATTTAAGTCCTGAGTTTCAGCCCATCACAGGTCCACATCATAGGGCTTTCCACTCACTACTGTATCCACTGACCGGGCTGCACTCTTGGCTCGGGGGAAAGACACATTGTCATAGGCCTTGGAGTACGCCACACTGCTGGGCTGACTCTGCGGCCTGCTCAGACTGGGCACGTTGGGTCGCCTGGGTGGCTCTCTTTGCCTGATTTCTCGTTGGTTCACGACATGCTCCACACGCATCTCTCCTCTGTTCTTCCCCCCGCAGCACCGACATATGCCTATAAACATAACAAACCCAGCCAGCACCTCCATGATCCCACCTATGTACCCCAATATGATGCAGTAGCCCACTTTGATCGTGACATTAGGAGGAACCACGGTGATGCTCTCCAGGATGTGTGTGTACCAAGCGATGGGGATGATGGTCATGACGCCAGAGCAGAAGATGAGCAGTCCTCCCAGGCCTGCAATTGTCCAGTTGGGGTTATCCCTCCAGCAGCGGACCCCAGGAATAGCTACGGCTATACCCACAAGCGTGACCAAGAGAGAAGCTACCATCAGCCCCTGAGCTATCTCAATGATCTGGTGGTTGGAATAAGCAGTGTCCTCTTGCCCACAGTCAAATTGAGTTGCAGTGGTTGTGGTAGTGGTGCTGGTGCAGATGTCCCAGATTCCCTGCATGACTGTGAAGCCAGCGGGGCTGTTGGGGAGGTTGTGGAGCGTCCGCCAGTTTGGGGCGACTGTGGAGGTGAGGTTCAGGACCCAGCCGCACGGGGATAGGACCAGGCCAAAGATAAGGATGCCTGGAGTGCGCAAAGACTCGCGAATCCATTCCTGCGTAGTCTGGTTTGGCATGTTGCCGCTGTTGCTGTTACTGCCAGAGTGTCCGTTTGGACCAGACTTTTGCGGTGCCAGCAAACAAGTCTGACTGAAACCAGGGCGTGTGGCACCTTTCTCAGTCCCCAAATAGTACAGGTGTGTCATATGTACGGCAGGTGCAGCAACGAAGAGAGAGAGGAGTGTAGGTTTGGAGAATTTTGAGAAATAGAGCGACCACTACACCCCAGAAAATCAATAGTGTGTGTGTGTTTGTGTGTTATATGTAATTGTGTGCATATGAAATATAATTTTATATAATATCACTCTTATTTCTAGGTCTAATTTTAAGACATTTCCACTCTCCAGCTCTCACATGGTGATTTAAAGTACCCAACTGGTGGTCTCTGTCACATATTTAGATCAACTTTTTCAGACAAAAGTGAAAAATAGAGGACCACCCACTTAGCCAAACAGCTATCACCCCAAAGGGTCAAATAATGACTCTCTTGGCTGACATGTATGCAAAAGATAAAATGCATTGTAAACTCTGACTCTTTCTGTGGAACTTTTAAAAATATATCTATTTATGGGGTAAAAAATTAAGCACTATATATAACTTTTCTGTACACATACCTTGTTTTTTTTCCTTGAGTAACAAACATTCTTGCATGGAGTGTGCCTCTACACATATATGACCTATTACCTGGTGAGCTATTCAGTCTGTGGATAGAAAAAGGTAAAATTAATGTCAAACAGAGGAAAATTCATGGCGAAACTACAGGCTATTATTAAGACTAACCTGGTAACGTTTTGAAAAGTTCAGAATGGGCTCTATATAACTTATTATCTTTGTGGAACGTCTGCCAAATGTAGCCGCTGTCTTTCATTGACATTCACATAGAGATTGTGTTCAGAGATGTCGCTGGTTTAAAAAAATACCTCTGTGAAGTGTTTTGGTCATGCCTGGAATGTAGTTATTCAGGTCATTTAACATACTGTACACTTACGCACACTCCATCATTACAGTGGTTGCAAAAGTACTGATAAAACTTGAACTTTTGCCCATTTTGTCATGTTGATAAATACTTTTGAATTACCACAACAAAGTAACGGAGAGGTGTGAAGTGCAAGCAACATTAAACATGATTTTGGCATATATGAAAATAATAAACGAACTGAAAAGCGGGCTTACACAGGTATTCATACAACATTTAGCTGATGCACTTATGATAAAATAGTCTGTCTATAATCTACTATCAGTATAATTACACCTCCGATACAATACATACATACGTTACAATATCATGAAGTGCAAGGAACTCCTCAGAGATGTCAGGGATAACATTTTATAGAAAGTGCAGTGTTAAGTTACATAAATATTCTTCAAGCTTTGGACATTATAATGTTTGATCTGAATGTATATATACAGTACATAAGTCACATGACAGCTCCCTCCAAATGCAATACTGATGCTTACAAATGACCAGAGTTTGAAGTGAGTTCAAACTCTGAGCCGGGAGACGAAAGAGAAATGTAAACCAACCAGACATGATTTTGCATATACTTCGCTCATAATGTCGGCCTCTAGTGAAAACATAGGCCCTCACTTGCAAAATGTTACATACATGACTAACATGTATACACATATAATCATTGATTATGACTGTATAAATCCATCTATACATTACAGATTCAACTGTTTTTTTATTTTTATTTGCCTTATTTGAATACACACTAAACTAAAAATTAAAGCCGCAAGCGTCCGTTACTCACAGCACTTCCCTTCTCCATTGGCATTAGGCCCTTGAACCAACAAGTATTTGTCAACTACTGTATCAGTATTCACAATCACCACAAGGAGGCGCTACTTCACAAGCAATGCAGTCCCAATTTCCCTTTCAGTGGGTAAATTATTGAAAACGTTGGCCTCTTTGAAGGTTTAGAATAAAACTACAACATGTGCATTGATTATGGTCGTAAAGAGAACACCCAAAGAGAAACTGGATTTTGAAGTCACCTAAAACAGATCAGGTCAGAGACGTTCTTTGTGGGACACCAACTTCAAAACCACAACTCATAACTGATAAGAGCATGTTGATTTATCTTAATCACTAGTTTTCACATGCAAGTATACAGAACATATAAAGATGTGGTAGAGGGCAAAAAGCCCATCATATCAGTATCTGTTTGAGACAGAAAAGATGAAAAGATGTCCTGAGCCGATCATCTCTCTTCCCAAAGAATCAAATTATGAAAAAATAAAAATAAAACATGATCTAGGTGGATAGGGATAGCACGTCTGACTTGATTTTCTAACCGAATGTGGGACAAACAAAAAGTTAGGTATCCCAGCTTTAACTGGGCTCGTCAAAACAGCCAATAACAAAAGACAATTAGACAGATCTCATCAGAGTAAACAGTGTGGATTCTTCTGCAGGAGTGATAGGATACTTTAAATAATGATAATAATGCAACATTACCTGCTGATGTGGGATGTGATATTTACAGTCTATGGATGTGACAGCGGAGAACGTACAAGCGGAAGTGAGATCCTGTCCCCGGAAGCTGTCAGTGTTGTTGTGGGTCTGTTGTGGGTCTGTTGTGTTGTGGAAATGGCGACGCCTCGTCGCTCATCGCAGCAGCAGCAGACTCATGTGTGTCCCCCAGCCCGGAGCTCGTCTCTCCCGGTCACTCCCCCCGTGTCCCCGCCGCCTGCAGCGGACCATGCGCCCCTGGAACCTCGGGCACCGGTGGAAGGAGAGCGGGCAGAGGGAGAGGTGAGCCCGGCTGTGTCTCCCAGCAGCCCCGCGCTGGGCCTCTCCTCCAGCGGCTCCAGCTCCAGTTTAGTCCCGAGCTCCAGCTCCAGCAGCCCTGCGTCATCCCCGGACTCAGACAGCGCAGCCGGGGGGACAGCAGGGGCAGGAGGAGGAGGTGCAGGAGGTCCAGGAGGAGGAGGTGCAGGAGGTCCAGGAGGTCCAGGAGGAGGAGGTGCAGGAGGTGCAGGAGGTGCAGGAGGTGCAGGAGGTGCAGGAGGAGCAGGAGGTGAAGGAGGTGAAGGCGGTGAAGGAGGTGCAGGAGGAGCAGGAGGGGCAGGAGGAGGAGGTGCAGGAGGGACAGGTGCAAACGGTGCTTTTCGGGATCTGTTCGAGGCTTGTCGAAACGGGGATGTGTCCAGGGTGAAGAAACTGGCGGATGCCCTGAACGTGAACGCCAAAGACATGGCAGGACGTAAATCCACTCCTCTCCACTTCGCAGCAGGTGAGACTAAAACAAAACTAAGTTTGACTTAATTTTGGGTCGCCTTTGAAAATTTGTTCTGGGTGTTGCTTTTAGTGTCACTTTCTTTGAAGTTGGAGATGGACTGTTTGGCACTGATTTTTATGTTCTGTCATCTACAACAGTAAATGCCCCCACATTACTACAGTTTGACTTAATTATTGGTAGTAAGTCAAAAGGTTTACATACATAAAACCTGTTGACCACGGGTTTTATATCATATAATCATATAAATAATAATTTAAAATACATATGTATAATTGTTATTAATATTTATTTTTATGATTAAACTTCATATTTATTTTTGTGTCCCAGGCTTTGGGAGGAAAGACGTTGTGGACCACCTGCTTCAGACGGGCGCCAATGTACACGCCCGAGACGATGGGGGACTCATTCCTCTTCATAATGCCTGCTCCTTTGGACACTCAGAGGTACGACCACATGAGTGTAACTTTTTTATGTTGTTGTTAATTCCTGAGAATTATTACAATACAAAAAAAACATTTATTTAAAGCTGGGGTAAGTGTGATGTGTGTATAATCTATGTTATAATCAAGGGTTTCTTTCTGTTATCTAATAGCTCTGAATCTTTAAAATAAACAAAATAATTATTCATTTGCTCTTTGCTGGTCAGGTCGTGTCCTTGTTGCTGTGCCAGGGAGCTGACCCGAATGCAAGAGACAACTGGAACTACACCCCACTCCACGAGGCAGCTATCAAGGGCAAGATAGATGTCTGCATTGGTGAGAAATGTTCAATCATATTCTTTGTTTGAACTGATGTACACTGCTCAAAAGGAAAAGACATGAATACATATCATTTAGATGGCTTTCCTGTTGTTTTTTCTAAGTAAGTCATCTTTATCTATATAGGGCTTTTCACAAACCAGAGTCACAAAGCGCTTAACAAAGTTGTGGGCATTTGTTTCTCACTCCACATACAGTAGAGATGAGAGCGAGGTCACCATACACGACATGCATGCCAGACCTATCGTTCATGGTATTAGTGGTAGGGAAAATTTGCGCACTTGGAGAAAACCTACACAGACACGGGGAGAACATACAAACTCCACTCAAACTTCACAACCATACAACTTATTTTGTTACTGACATGAGAATTGTTTTTCTTGGCAGTACTTCATTTATTTTATTGTGTTGTGTTATCAGTTTTAGGGATGTAAATCGGTGACCGTTTAACCGGTGGTTGACCGTCAACATGTTAATAATGTTAATGCCGTTTATGCCACTGCTCTACCCTGACCTCTATGTACACTATGTTGTCATATATTTTTCCATTTAAACAACCATTTTCAGAAAAATATGGCATAATTTTGCCGTTAGTTCGAAATGTGATTAATTGCGATTAATTAATTTTTAAGCTGTAATTAACTCTTAAATTAAATTTTAATTGTTTGACAGCCCTAAAAAACTTACAAACACATGATGGACACAGAATGTGACACACCCAAAAGGTGTCTGGTTCAAACAGCATCTACACTTTAACATGAGAAACACCATAATCACCATGAACGGTTGGAGCAGTGGACTAACCCAGTGATGACGTCATATTTTCGCCTCTTGTAGATGAAGCCGTAAGAGGCATAATGTATCAGTTACAGTTTCTAAATGTAAATCCCTATAAACACTCTTTGATAATGTTGCTATTTTTGCGTACTCACTGCACTTCTACCACTTGTATTACAAAGAAAGTAGTGCACATTATTTAAGGACTGCACCCACTTAGTCTCTGAGGAAACTACATAAAAAAATATTGGATGCTGTGGAACAGTCTGCATGGACGGGCTGGTCTGGTGGGTTCGCTTGATGCGCCTGGGACTGATGAGATAACTCAATGGATTCCCAACTGTGGCCACTGTGGCACATCGGTTTCAAAGTATTCAAAATAGTGGTAAATTGTGTATTAGTATTTTATGTTATTGAATGCAAAACCGCATAAAAAAAAGAAAAATACCAATGCGACCGTATAAGGTGAATTTTGGTATATGGGGTAGAAGCTTATAAGTTACTTCTTACAAGTTCTTCCATGCCATTTTGGGCTTAAATAGGAATGAAAAAAGTAAAACTTTAGAATGTATGTATGAATTTATGTTCATGTACGTATGTATGTTTGTATTATATATATAAAATAAAAATCTGATCAGTAAAATAATAAAGTTAGCAATAACCTAACTACCAAAGAACCAATCAGGAGCGGCGCTGGTCTTTTCCTGCGAGCAAGGCAAAGCCAAATTGTGGCACAGACGGTACCTGATTGGTCAGTTGTCATTCCCCATAACTTACCAGGATCATACAGGGAGTTGGTCAATAGGAACCCATATGCTTATCTATGATTCTTGCAAAATGCAGGGGTTGGGAAATAAATTCTGCCACTTTAACTAGTGAATGCCTTTTTTGTTTATGGATAATATTCACTTTGAAAATTGTCCTGAACTGGCTGTTAAGCTCTGTCAACCACCTTTTAGTCCAGCTGACACATTTTTACTGTGTTGGCCACGCAACTCATGGCACAAAACAAGTCACGTGGCTTGTCCTCCTTCCAGGTTTAGGATTTGAAGACAAATCTGTCAAGAAAAGTAGTCAAATCATGACTACATCTAGTGAGTGTAACAGCATGCAGCCCCCACTCTATTGCCCCCACAAGCTCAGCAAGAAATTAATCTTTCATTACAAAGCACCAGCCTTAGTAATGCTCAAAGCCATGGGAAAATCACATTAACAATCTTGAAATAAGAGGATCAGAGAAATTGTTACGCTATGGTCCAGAGTTTAAAGAGTTGCACCAGATGTAGGCCTCCCGAGTATTGAGATGGACAATGCTTATCCAATATGAGGCCTAATAGTTTTACCCTCATAAGAAATTAACTAAAATACCGTGGCTCCCATTAATTTACATTGAAACATAAACTTCTCTTACCATGTAACCATTTGTGTTTGCTTAAAATTCTGTGGTTTAATGCTCTCTAACAACTAGTAAGTACCGGTAAGTAAGTAAGTAAGTAAGTAAGTAAGTACTTACTTACTTTCTCTCCAACAACTGACCAATTAGGTGCCTTCTGTCCTCGAATTCAACTTAAGCTAGTGAGAAGCGCAAGTGGGAATAGATTATTGCCCATGAATATTATGTGAGTTGGCTCTAATCAGCTTTTTCAAGAAAAGGTAAACCTTTTGGGTAAGTTGGTTGGTCTAAGTTAGTGGTTGGATACTTGGTTGTTTATATGTGGCACATGGTGTCCACTAAGCCTTGTGCTTCACAGCAAAAAAGTCCTGGGTTCATTTAGTAACTTACTCATTAGCCACTTTACCTGTTGTTGTTATTACTGCATTATTTTTCCTACCAATTTATGGTACTGTTTGGTTATTATTCAAAAGTTGAATAGTTTTATGATTTTCTGGGGCTAGGCAAAAATATTGTCTAGTGTAATTTTTTGTGCCATCTAGCGTTAAAGGGCCCATATCACGGTTTTTGACTTTTCTCTGCTTTAAACATGATTACAATGCTATTTGGCCTTCATACACAAGCCCACAGTAGTTTATTCATTGATTCTGTCAATCTTTTGTAAGAGAGCAATCTGTCTCCTTCCCCAGCGTGAGGCACAGAAACGCTCGGGTCCACTTCAGTGACAAAAACCACACTGATGACGCGCATGACCCCGTTTGCTTTGTATTTAAAATAGTTGTTAAATACTTTTGTCAAAACGGGGTAAACAATACACAATTAGTATGCTGTTTTTTGTCAAAAATAATAAAAATAAAAATAAATTAAAAGCCGGCGGGAGGTGATTGACGGATCAAAACAGCGAATCAGAGCGCACAGGCTCCGGCTCCCGAGTCCAGCGTCTGTGGTCTGGTCTCCGGACACCACATAGAGCTGCTGTTTTTATGCTTTTGTCAGCAACTAAAAGTGTTAGGATCACGTCAACTTGAATGAAGTGTGTTATGGGTGTAAATATGTGACGCACTATTTGGCCCTAAGAGGAAAAAAGCGGCTCAACTTTTTTCATCTGTTCATCTCATGGATCTATTATAAACCGGTTCATCTGCGACACTTCACTGAGACTGTTCCAGAACTACAGGGACAATGGAACTGGACTTACTCAAAAGCTGATCTGGAAACACGTCATTCCCACGGTAAAAGACATAACTCGGACCCCCTCGATCTGTAAGTAGTGACGCTAACTCGCTGTATACTTCTGTAAACTAAATAACTAGGGTCTGATTGTGCATCGAGGACATAGGGCTCGATGTGACTGATTGTCATTGTTGGAAAAAGTTTATTCTTATGTATGAAATTACTAAGTACAGGTGATAAACGACAAAAGCGTGATGCTACGTCAGCGTGCGGGCGGGGGGAGGCGGGCTCACAGGCAGAGGAGCAGACTCTGGATCAGCTCGTTTGAGTCGAGGTGACGTCACCTCTATACAAGAGATGGCTCTAATCTCACAAGCTTTGATTGTTGTGTGGTGTATCATACACATTAATATCACACACATTAATATCACACATGTGCATAGGATTGAGTGTGAAACATGAAGAAAAGCGTGATATAGGACCTTTAAGATCTTATATTGCAGTCCAAGGTACTCTTGAAGCCTTTGATAGAAAAAATGTGTCTTTGACAGTGCTCCTCAACTCTCAGTCATTCACCGGACTGCAGAGGAAAGAATACTTAGTTTGATAAATGACCGGATTTCTCCAAACGTCTTGGGCACTTGACAGTCGCATGGAGGCGACATGTAAACAAGACAGCGTTCTGAAGCGGCATCCGCAGAACATCCTGAGACTGTTGCAGATTCTGCCTCGTTCTCATTATTGTCAGTGTGAAAAAAGTATTGTTCACATCCAAGTCTGTTGTGTACAAACTACACAATGTGCCTCCTGTTGTGTTAACACTGTCTTTCGGTGCGTGTGGTTTGCCATGTTGACACTTTGCTGCTATGACGTCGGACTTTTGTATAATTATTTCACTAAAAGATTGTTTTTCGGGTCGTTCTTTTACTGTATATAACTGTGGTCCGCCCTGATCCGTTCTTCAAACCGGTGAGGGCACAGTGAAAGCAACAATATTAGTAGCATCTGTGAAAAAAAACGCGATTCTTGCATCTTTTTTGTCCCATATCCACCACTGTATTTCAAGATGGCGAATTGACATGGAGAGTCCTCAGCTCTCATGGACATATATAATTAAAATTCAAAGCTTATGAAAGCAATTAAAAAACATGGTGACGATAAATATTGTTCAAAAGGTCACATTTGTTATTAGTAAAAATTTGTTTTCACATGGAGCAACTGTAAAAATTACACAATGAGGCTTTAATCTAACTAGATTGCTTCCATGGCTGTTCCACACTCGCATATTTTTGTCCCCTGTTTTTTAGGTGGAAAAAAGTGAAAAAGAGAGGAAGGCGGCATGTTGTAGCCTGATTGGTTCACCGTATTTTACGATTCTTTCCATTGGACAAACAAAGTAATTTATGATTAAAAATTTTTTTTTGATTCCTGAGCTTCAATTATTTTAAGAAAATAATAAGGATAATATGCATTGGTTATATATAACACTTTTTTAACACCTCACATGTCATACTGCATTTATTCTATACACAGTGATGATGAACTACTACTGCAGCCACTTCTGCCAGTGACCTGGGGCACACTGAGAAGCGATGCCACCAATTTCAGGCACCAATATCAGCCTCTCCAACCCCCATAAACCATTCACTCACAACAGACTCATTCCAGGCAATGTGGGTGAAGTGCCTTGCCTAAGCACACAACAACATTTTGGCGCTTTACAGCCGCAGCTGCCCGCTGTGGCACCTAGTCTTCTGAAAAGTCTCTCATCAAAGTGCTAACTAAGTCCTGCCCTGCTTAGCTGACGGGATCTGGCTGTCACATGCAGGTGGTGTAGTTGTGAACTAATGTACTTTATCAAGTTATCAAGCACATTTTAACACAATTTTTCTCATTTATCAACTGTCTGTTGGTTTTACACATGTAGATCATTGAAATTAAACTAAGATTATGATCTTTGTTATTGTCGGTATAGAATTTCAAGTATCTTGTTTTTTAAAATTGATTTCAAAATTGCATTTTTGAAATGATCCCTTCCAGTTTACTGTTACATTCAAGGAGTTCAGTTACCAGTTCACTAAAGCAGCAATTTGGATTCGGTCTCCCTGATAGACCTGTGTGTTGACATTAGCGCCCTCAGTGGAGCTCATTTAGAGCAGAACTGAGCTTGGGCACACTTTGTTATTCTGCTCATACCTGTTCCCTGTGACCCTCCCCTCTGCTTTCTCACTCCCTCCCCTCTTCGCCTGCTTTCCTTTGCTCGCTGCATCAGTCATACCAGAGAGGCGCGAGTCTCTCTTTACACTGGCTGCCTGATTCCACGCTGCTCCGCTCGCTTCATCTTTCCACTCTATTGTTTTGCTTTCATTCCTCCTCGTGATTGTCCCTATTGTTGAGCATCACCATAATGCGATCCAAGCTGCGCGCGTCTACACTCCACCGGTGCGTTTTGTAGCGGAGAGATCCACTCGCTCCCGTCTTGGGATGTCTGTTTACATCAGCAGCGTGGCAGGCAGCAGCGCGAGTGCAGACGAGCTGGAGGAAACACAGGACAAAGAGAGTACAGATGTGGAGAGAGGAGGAGGTCAGGGTAGAGCAGTGGCAGGCTGGCGGAGCACGCGCAGCAGAAGGACGGCAGTATGCAGAGGAGTTTGCGTGTCTGTACAAGAGCTCAGCTACTGTCTGTGTCTGCCCTGTTGTACAGTGCTGCTGCAGCATGGAGCCGACCCAAATATCCGCAACACGGACGGAAAGTCAGCGCTGGACCTGTCCGAACCCTCTGCCAAGGCTGTACTCACAGGTTAGTGCACCTCTAAGACCTCTAAAGGAAGTTTGTCTGTGTGTGTTGTATGTTTTGTCTGTGGTGAGTAAAACGTGACTTTCAGTAATTGTTTTCTTTAGTGAGCACAACATGAGCCTTTCAACTGAGAGTTGCTTTTAACGACATGTGTATATAAATATAAGTACAGTGATTAAGGGTGTGTGGCGGGGGATAATTGTGCTGATTTAAGGATGAACCACAACATATTTTCACAATAGCATTGTGTTGAGCGTGATGATCTTCACCTCAGAGGCCGATTTGATATGTATCTCGATACTTGATAATCGATTCGATACAGTAAGAATACACTGAGGTCCCCTGCCGATACAATGCAATACATTTACCCCCAGTCAGCGTTACGATACGATGCAATGCTATTCACCCCTATACACTACTTTTCTCAAAACGATGTGATTCGAAACTATTTCATTACAATAAAATATAGGCCTTACAAATTAGTTTTGATAAGTAATACAATTACTTTATATGAAAAGTTAATTTATGTCAGAAGCCTTCAGTCCTGACTCCCGCAGGCTCAGTCTTGGTTATGGATCTATGGTCTTGGTTCCGTCGTGGCTCAGTCCTGGTTCAGATTATAGCTTTATTAATTAAACTGGAGAGAAGTGCATTGTTCTTGCCGCTGTTTTAAAACATTGATTGAAACGTGTATGAAACCGGCGCATCCTCGCTCACCGGGCACGTATTTTCTCTGCCTCACTCACAAACAGGACTCTTGAGTGGGTCGTATCTCTGTGAATACTGACTCTTGACTGACTGGACGCTTGAAAGATCAAAACAGAGCTTGGACGCTCATCTGTTGTCTAGACTGCATGCCTCTGCTTGTTCGCAAACGCCAACCACTGAGCGGAGAGGCGAAGACAAAAGTCTGAGTCAACAGTCTTTGGGACCAATGCCCTTGTGGGCGCCTGTGGGCATAGGTTGGGTGACCCTCTCAACTTGTCTATAATCCTGCTACTGATTGGGAGAAACTTTCCTTCTCTGTATGTCCCGCCCTGGGAAGATGACAGAGTCAGGGCCGCCAATCAGATCTCAGCATAGACCCTCATTGAGCAATTAACAACCAAGATAAAACACGTTGCTATAACAAATGGACTCTGTGCATATTAGCGATCATATACCGATCCAATGCAAGATTCTAACCGACAGTGGCAATAACCGATGCATCACAAATTTGCCTTTTGTGTATCGATGCATGCTGGAATGTGCCGGTGCAGTTGCATTGCAAATGCTTGACTCGAACCACCGCTGCGAATCGGTGAATCTCTCATCCCTATTGTCCATGTACTCATCACAAATTAATGACCAGATTTCCACCACTGACATTCCCTCCTGACTTCATAAAAAACGGCATCCAGTTGTCTCTCAAGCAATAAGTGATTGAAACCCCGTAAACAACACTTTATTCACAACTTTCTCAGCACACGGCACACCTTGTTCCCACCTCAGTCCAATTTTGAGTTCCTCCAAGGCCGCAGGCGCGTTGTTCCTGTCCATCCATCTCATTCTGAAGCTCTATACTTTGGCCTACACACTAGAACAGTTTTTTCCATTTCATGCACCTCTCCACTGCCTAAGGTCATTGGTGTTCGTGTCCATGCCTCTACATTTGTATTTTTTCTTGTTGCCGGGGCTGAACCCATTGATCATCTGCTCATAAGAACTCCCCTTTTTAGACTGCCCTTTTTCCCAGAGGTTCTTATTTATTTCCCTCCTTTAACTTCAACTCACTTTGTAACTAGATTAAAGTCTAGTTTGAATGAATGAATGAATGAATGAAATATTTATTTCAAATAGTTTAAAGGTCCATCTAGTTTAAAGGCCCCATCTTCATGTTTCAGTGTCCATCCTGATCATATTTGTCATAACATTTTGAATGATGCACCATACAACACTCAAACCTTGTGAGATTATAGCCATTTCTTGCATAGAGATGATGTCCCCGCAATTGAAACAAGTGGATCTCTGCTCATCTCTGGTTCTGTCTGTGAGCCTGCTTCCCACACCTGGCCTGTGACGTGTCCCAGACCACAGCCCGCCTCCTCCCGCCCTGAGCTCACGCTGTCAGGGTTTGGCGTTGATACATAGCGGTACTAGATCAGAGAGCATGCTTTTTTCCAACAATAGCGAACCGTCACATAAAGCCCGATGTCGTCGATTAAGAATCGGACACTAATTATTTGGTTAGTTAGAATTCCTGTACTAATCCTCGTTAGCATCTTTTATTGTGGGAATAACACCAGTTTTCAATATCAGCTTCTGAGTCCGGTTTCCAGTCCAGTCTTTGGTGAAGTGTTGTGAATAAATTCACATTTGCCGCATTGCTTTGTCTTGTATTTACTCCTGAAAACACGTTGTCCATGTTGTCTGCAACTTGTCATGATACTGATACCTATAGTCGGCGACAGTAAAAAGAACAGGGCAGACATTGAGAGTCTTATTTGGTCAAATAGGAATAGCATAGCAAAATTTGCATTTTCAAGTTTCAAGTATGTTGTCATTTTATTGTGACAATAACAAAATGTATAAAATGCTGAAACGATCTCAGTAAATGGTTAAAAAAAAAACCAAAATACAATACTAGATGGTCATACATCCATAGTGGATTAAGAAGAGCCATGCAGAAATAAAGCTAACAAAGGGGTTCTCTCACATGTGACCATGTACAAAAATAGTTTCATGTTTTTTCCTTTTCCAGCACAGGTAAAACAAAATAACTAATCCAGCCTTTTTTTTTCCACCGGTGCGAAATTCAAGTCAAATAAACCAAACGACGAATTTTAGTCCATGAATGTTTTCTATCAACAAGAGTGTCTCGAGCCATACGGTGGCGCAATGTGTAATTACATGAGCAATTGATCCAGAGCGCCTTTCAACTAACCAAATATTAACCCCCCCCACTTAACTATGGATGGTCCATTTTAATGTAGTCAAATACATCAATCTGGGATATGGGGGCCGTGTGATGTCCACTCAACATTCAGATTAGACCCTTTCACAGTTTAAAAGATCAGAATAATCCTGGATAATACAGTAAACACAACAGTGGAGTTTGCTGCCTTCTAAGCCAGCGATACATTCAGTATATTTTGTGACAATTCTATACTGTTATACTTTAATGAAAGGCATTTTAATTTAGTTAGTATGAAGTTAAAAATCTAAATTTTGGCTTAAACATAGATAACCCATTTTGTGATAAGGAATTTGCAGTGAGACTTTTTCATGGGCTTTGCAACTCACCGTCTGAAGATTTTAAGTGGCCGGTGTGGGACAGTAAAACTTTACCGACTAATTACCTCTAGATTTTTCTTTACAACCTCTTTTCACCAAATTGCTTTGTTGCAGACTCGGGGCACAGGGACCGGATTAATTAAAGACATATTTCTTTACAGTTGTCGCAAATTGGTGGTTTCTCATAAAACAGAGAAAAACATCTTGATTTCTTATTGATGAAGTTGAAATCGGTCTGCTGGAATCCTTTTATGTTGTATTCCTACCTTGACCACAGTATGAATGATGGATTATGCCGTGAATGATGGAGCTTTTCCCCAAATTGTCCATTTTTATCATCTAAAAATCTTATATAAGAGAGCTCTTTGTTGTTTCACAGATTCTGATAATTATTTACTTCTCATTTGAGCTGATATTTTGGAATCTTCAGTCACCAATTAATCAAAGTATTTGATATTATGGTTCAAACAAACTAACGGGATCAGGTTTTTGTTAAGAAGCCTTATTTGTCTGTTATCATAATACAATTACAACAGACCCTCCTCCATCGGCAAGGTCAACTCATAAAAACCCAATCATAAGCATTCTACATGACCTCAAGTCACAGTAATACTTCAGAGTTATCCTTATCAAAGTTTCCTCACGCGTTAAACAAATATATAATGAATAGAATAATCCTTTTTTTGATAGCAGAGCAAATCAAAGCCAGACTTCCCCCTTATATCTCAGAATCCCATAAAGTCCTTCCAAGTAATGTCTTCAATAGTATAACTTTAATGCCTTTTTTTGTGGATGATTTTTCAGCTCAAATCCTCTTTGGGAGACTCACTACCTCTCATGTTCTCCCCAGGGACATCAGTGCCGGCTCTAAATCACCTTTTTTCAGCTCCATTTTGACTGTTTACATGCAGTTACATCAGCGGCTCCCTCACTTGGCCTTGCTGCTAAATTAGATCAACTGCACAAAATACCCCAAGAGACGCACAGTCCGAAGTCTCTGAGCAATGTGAGAAATAATGTCCCTGTTTGTATGAATTGCAAAATCTTATCCTCTGGCTGCTATATTCAAGCTGGTATTATTGCCATAAGTCTTTCACTTCTTCGCTGAGGCTCTAGCAATTGAGCTAGTGGAAGAAAACTACTATTTTTGAGCCATTTTAATTCTACAGACACATTTAGATTATGTAAACAGCCACAAAAACAAGAAGTAACCCTGCATTTTGAATATCTGTGTGAAAGCTGACTTTTATGCCTTGTGATTTATATTGACACAACTATACTTTGGCTAAATCTTCAATATTCATGTGTTAATTTGCTTGCTTACTTGTACATCTTAAATACACACAAATTGTACTCTTTTTGAGAAAACATTGTCTCTCTTGGTGAAAACATTGTCCTTAGCAAAGATATTCATTCACGGGTTAATGTGGAGGTCAATTACTTTTCAAACTGCAAAGAACGCTTAAAAACTCTAGTTAGACCCACCCCCAGAGGTTCTTGATTTAACGCAATTCATTCCAATCCTTGATAGATCAGTAGTGAGAGGGCTCAATCGTCTTACTATTTCATTCAAGCAAATCTTCGAATGGTGGTTATTTTAAGGAGACTGTTTTAGATGGATATTACTTATTACTTCAAATACTCAATATAGATGATAATACGGGTTCATATGGTCAATAATTTGTATTCTTTTCTATATTGAGTACAATGGAAGTTGCTGACGTGACTTT